TGAAATTAGTGTTTTTTTAACGACGAATTTAATGGTATTTTGTAAAAAAACCTTTTGAACAATATATTTAAAAAACCGCATTTTTGATAAGTCTTTTCAAGTATGTTAACAAATTTTTGAATATTTGTTTATGAATGCTATATATTCAAACACAAATTACGGATAAAATAGAATCTTGAGTTTTTCATTATAAAAAAATTCATTATTTTTTAATCTTTCTCGCTGGATGTGCAAAGCAGGGTGTAATCTGGAGTTGTTCTTTGTACGTAAATATGTTTTAAAATATTAAATGTTAATATATTTTAGTTCCGATAAAGGCTGATTTTATTGTTCAGTATTTATTCCTTTTTTTAAATAGACACGGTTCCTCTTGTACTGAGCAGGATTAGTATCGCAACGATTAGGCATCAATAGAGTAAAACTAACTTGTCTCACGAATATATCATCAATATTATCTAGAAGTATATGATTCGTGTTTGTGTGAACAATAAATCACTCTCAACAAGGATTCTCGAACTTGGTTTTCGAACGACTAATTATATGAGAGTACAATTAAATCATTGTAACATTGAAATGGAAGCACTATTAACATATTAATGACAAATTTTCGTGAAGAAATTAAATTTCTTTCAATTTGTAGAAGATGAACAAAGACAAAGACAGTGCTGCAATCGACTGGAACACATCAAAATGTGTTAATAATTATAAAGAATTATATATTTTGATATGTTACACATTAATTAACAAGAGATTTAGACAAAGATCATCAGTCATATTAATTTTGTCTTGTTAATTTCGTCACTCCCGATCGTTAGTCCTTTCATTCCAATCTTCTTATTTTTCTTTATTCGCCAGTAAATTTTATTTTGATTATCGATAACCATTATCGACAGTGAAAAATTTATTTTATTGCATTTTATTTTATTTATTTACTGATGAAATTTATTTTGTTATATTACATGTTGACATTATTGATAATTAGGCTCGATGTACGAGCCACGGGATTGCGGTGCGATCTTCATACAAGAGAGATAAGGATAACATTAACATAAAAATATCGCTTGGTTTAATCATCGCGTCACTGTTATCTCGTTTCTTTTTCTTGGCATCTGTGACTTTGCAAACGACGCGATGTGCAATCGTTTTGGGACGCAGCGATATTTTTATATTTATGTTGTCCCTGACTCTTTTGTGTTTTTTCCTTCTTCTTATCGATTTTGTGTGAAAATCGCATTGCACGAGTGCATCCGACCTTAGTATTATATTTATACTTATAATTAATATTATATATCCAATTGTCATTAATTATATAGTCATTAGTCATATTAATGAAATTTTAAACAATTTTCAAAATATATGCAGAAATTACGAAATGTGTAGTATCTACGTTACAGTGATAACAATAATATTTTACAGAAGTTACAAAAATACTTAGATAGTCAACGACACATTATATTCTCTAAATCTTAACATTCAGTAGAATACATTATATTCTCTAACATTCATTATTCTAACGTTTATTATATGTTTCAAACTGGCACTCGTGCTGTGTACAATTTTGTATTAAAAGTTAACATAATTATTACAATATTAGATATAGTTTAGTTAATTATTGTAATTATGTAATATAATCTATATAATAATTGTATATTTAGGGTAAATTGTTTCGTCTTTAATAGGTATGTCAGAGAGTTGGTCTTTTATCATGCTCAAAGTTTGTATCAGCACGGCGGTGTCTGAATTGATGTCCGCGTGCCGAAGTTCTGTCATTCGGCGTTTAAATTCCGTCGGAGAGATATTAAATCATTTATTGAGTCATATTAAAAGATGACTGATGTTCTTCAATCCTTATATTTAAATGTGTTGAATAGTTGTTGGTGTGTAGTGACTGACTGACGTACTGAGCCTAGGAGATCGTTCTGGTATGTCTGCTTATGCAAAATTGAGGGTTGAACTCTCTTGCTGAACTATTAAATTGAACTGCTAGATCTGAACTGTTAAATCTGAATTCAACTGCACTACTCTATTGTTAATTAAGGCCAAGACCATTGAAAGAAGTCCCATAAAAGTATAGTTACTTTTTGGCCCGACGATTCTGCCTAGGTATACGACCCTCACCTTAAGATTTTATATGTTGATTTGTATCCCTTTAATAAGGGCAATTGTAATAAGTAAATTAATTGTAAAAAGTAATAAAAGCGAAACTGAATTTTGTTAAAATTAAAAAATGGACGAATTATCGTAGCACAATTGTTTCTATTTTTTTTCCAATATGAATTTTTCTCAATAGATTTTCTCAATAGAAAGTCAGATGTTTCCGTGAACATTGTACGATTATTTTAAAATAAATAATAACCTTGAAGTAAAATTTTTGTTAATGAGTGTATTCAATACGAAGAATTGTTTTACCTATGAATTACACATGAATGCATAATGGGACCAGCTGTAATACATATACGTCATTCCTGCAAAAATATAATTGGAATTGACCTTATCTAGTTTTAGTTATATTGTATATTTTTTTTTTATATTTGATCATATATTAATACTTTTCTTCATTTGTACAAAAGTATAATTCAATCATATATTAATACTTCTCTTCATTTATTTCACGAACAAGTTGAAAGAAAAGTTTTTATAGTCATCCGATAGTAAATCGTACTCCAAAATTAAAGATAAAAGAATAACAACCGTGTCTATTAACATTATAAGATGATTGGGTTCAATTTTTGGCAATGACATGTTTAATTTAGTGATTAAAATATGAATTGTACTATGTACATTTGCAAAATCATCAAGATAAAATGTACACACAGAATCTATTATACGAATGATGACTCGAGATTTGTAACTTGTTGATAAGCTTTCCCCCATATTCTTAACCGAGCGAGTAGACGCGTTCAAAAGTTATTGCAAGTTCTTTGCTCTTCTTTTTATTCAAATCTTTTTGAGTGATTTGTAATCTATTGATTTTCCCAAGTTTAACGATAAATCTCCCATTCCTCGCTACTTTTTGATTTAAAATTTTTCTGATTCATCTTGTTATCGATATTCGACCTTTTCTTCTCTTCTCTTTTGCTAATTATAATGCAACTCGATGAGAATTATGATTATAACATGACAATGTTAAGATATAAAAATAAAAATTTGTAAATATTTCATTTTCATAAAACTGCTGATTTTCCTTTATACCTTCAGATTTCAGTAGAACAATATTTGCTTCTTTTTTCGCGAAATAAAAAGTTTCCTGTGTACATAAAAAAATAAACCAGTATAATTTATATCAAAATATAATAACACGGAAAGAATTGTTTAATAACTGTGGGTTAGTTTTTTTATTACAAATGTACAACTTAGATAGCTGTAAGTGATTAATCCACTCTTCTATTCATTTATGTATACCTGAAAAAGATATTTAATTAATTATATTTTAGGATCAGAACCACATTAATTGTTTCGTAATAAATTCTGATTTTACTTGGTGCTGGATAGTTGAATACAGGATACCTAGGCGTAAAAGGAGTATTCGCACCAAACACATACTCAGATTCGTTTTGATCTAGAATATTTTGAGTTCCAGACATATATTCCTCATACGATGGTGGCGCTAAATAGAAAAAGAAAAATGATGGATATTAACTTGCTACTCCATTTTCCTTCCTATATATTAAACATAAATTATTAATAAATTTCTTACGTATATCCATATTAATCGAAGAACTGCTAGGTTGTTCTGGAACAACAGACTGGTCTCCTACCGGAAGATATGATGCATTTGATTGTTCTGATGTTGGCGTTGGAACTGGCATTATCGCAGATTCTTTCGTATATGAAATCGAATGATTGGATATAACGTTGTTCAGAGGTGGTGCAGAAGGAGGGAAGTATAATGGTATCGTTCCAATTAGAATAGGAAAACGCTTCATGATTTTACGATGCCTAATTTTATACACAAATAAAATCATTAATTCTTTAGAAAATAAATCGCAGTTATTATATTAGTCATAGTTATTATTTTATCTCTCTGATTTTCTGATTGTTTCTAAGTTATCACTATTAAATTTATTTATTGTATCCATTTTCGCTACTTACGGCCCCGAAACGTGAACACAGACGATCAAATCGTAGTTCACATCTATTATACTACAATATTCAAGATAGGAAGGTGGTATTGGTGGTATCAAAAGTTTTGATATTACTTGTCCATTTGTAGGAAATGGTCCTGCCTGGATCATTTTATTAATTACAGAGTTATGATTCATCGTTTTAGTTATAGAGTTATTAGTAATCGTTTTGATAGCGGAATGGAATTCGAGTTTCTAGAAGAAAAAAAATTAATTATCAATCTTTCAGTATGCGAGAAATTAATATTTCGTTCCTTTCAAATACATTACTCACTCGTAACAATTTCGTGCAGACTCTCGTAATCGATATATTCGTAGAGTTCACATAGTCCACCGTTACATTTATCATTTGTCCTGCTACGTATCCAGAGAATGGTATTGAAATTTGCAAATTCATCGTGCCCTTCTTGAAGCAACAAAGGTAACAGAAATTTTTTCTCGTTTCATCATTGACTCCTAACTAATTATTTATTAAAAATAAAGTAATTTGTGTAAGTTTGATACATGTATATTATTAAAAGCATTTTGAAAACGAATTTCGATTCCTTACACATTTTTCACGATGAACATTCAAATCTAGATTCGAAATTACAGTGAACGCTGCTTTACACTCGTGATTGAACTTCCATGGTCTATCGATCACGGCTTTTATCGTGTATCTTATATATCCATTTTTATGCTCGAAGCTGCTTGGTATAGTATAAGGCAATTGGAAGCTAAAAGGATACTGGTTATGTCCTCTGGGCAGTTTGACCCGTGAATCAGCTGGAAAATCATAGATATTCTTTATTTGTTGCCATTATTGATTAGCGATTTGTTTAAACATTTAAATCCCTTGAAAATTGCTACTCACATTCTTGTGTACCAATTATGTTGCATATAAGCTGAAAGTATTTCTCTGAACTGGTATAATATAGTGTTCGCTGTTTATTTTGGGTCGATAAAATATTTTCGTCCCAATGCACGTGTGCCTTTCCTGTCGCACTAAAAGAAAGTCCTATAATAGAAAATCAATCATATCTCCGATAAATCTTATTTTTTCATTTCTGCATGTACGTTTGATAAGAATTCAATGATATTATCGTTCATCAGACTGATTCGCTTTAATGCAATTGAATACTAATATAGCTTTACGTGATTAATCAAAATATACACTTCTTCGAATAAAATTGGAGTAATGATTATGTTGTAATATGTTGCAATATTATGTTACATTGACGCCTTCATATAGAGATGATTTATCATAAATTAATAGAGATCTTCATTTCATAATTTGCATATACGTTTTTTGGCACCTGTCGAATTAGTTAGAAAATTTTCGAAACGTATAATTAGTAAGAAAACTTTACAGACTTATATGAGTTAATGTAACATGATTGTGATTGTTAGTACATTGAACGTTAGCTAGTCTTGTTGGTAATGAGCGCCCGATTTTTGTATCTGTATTTCACGTTGTCAAAAACATAATTACTTTATTACATTATTATCTCAGATTAAACATAGTTTGGAAAACTCTTGCAAAAGAGAATACTGCGAGGAAGCTATTTTTGACAAAAATACAATTTTTCACATGGAATTTATATCAATGTCGGAATTATCATTCTGGTTTACGTTGAAACAATTTCAAATTCATAAAGTGTATACTATATTATCAGGAGTTAAAAACGTTTAATATTTCTCACTACTCATTTAAATGAACTATTGCACTTCAAGATCAGAAACTCACCTCTAATTTGTTTCTCTTTTGTTATATCCACGATAATATTTCCACTGACAATTTCACCGGCCATATACACAGCGATCGATCGATTAAATTCTACGCGAAATGCTCTCACTGACGACATGACATGTGGGTGATGTTCAAGATTGATGATTTACAGGACTGAATTTTCCTTTTTGTCATCGAATTCTTCGATGAGAACATCGAACATCGAACGAAAATCTTACGACGATCTTACGTGACCAACAACTGAATCGAATTTGCTCTGATACTGAAACAGGCAATGAGTCAAAATATGGTCAGAATTAGAATCGATAGATAAAAGATATGGACGCTATCAACGGACGATATCCGGCAGTTACTGATATTATAATTTGTTAAATACCAGAAACGCGATAATTTATATGTCATCATGAATTCGTTTTTTACTTAAAGTAAGAACTGCATTTGGATTTAGGAAATTTGTAGTCTGTAAAATGCGTTACATCAATATTAAAATATAAAATATAATATATAGTAGTCGCGATTTTCTTATTGGCAAGTTCCATTCGTATGATCTAAAACATTCTTTAGGAAAGACAAATAATTCATACAATGGTATTTCAATAATGTAAAGACAAATAATTCATACAATGGTAATTCAATAATGTCTACAATGGAAGAATAAATAGATAAATTTACAAATCCTTTTATTGACAATAAACAGGCTAGATTTCTATATTTTAATTGCGTGTGAGATCTACATCCTACTCTTATATAAGTCACATATAAATCAATTTCATATTGCGAAAAAGATCTTTGAAAGAAATAAATTTAGGTCAGTCAAAACTTTACGCTTTAAAATAAGACCGTGTAGATTGTTGTATGATTTTCCTTTGCGACAGTATAATAGTTTAAAATATCGATAATTTTTCATCACTATGTTCAATTATATTCTTTACTACATAAGCGTAATAATTTTTCAGCGACTGTTAATACGTTATATTGTGCATGACATTATTTTCTGTACTGTATATATATGTGTGGAACTATGTTATCTTGGCTATTATTCTAATACAATAACAATACAATTTTGCAACATTAATAAATTTCAAAAGTACTGTTGATACAATCATGACATACGTTGTTAAATATAATAAATTATTAATTTTAATAAATGAAAAGTATACAATAATACCAAATTTTCAGTAATCATTTCTTCCAATAATATGTATGTATATGATTATGAATATTTAATTAAAATTGAAATTGAGGTAATTATTTACTTTGACGGTCTCCCCGCTAATTTCAATGATTTCGAAATATATTGTCAAGGTTGTTTCGTATTATAAAGTAAAATGAAGTTATATAAATCTTTGGACATATGCAATAACTAATAAACTAATTGAGAGTAATGTTTAGTATCAAATCCAATTATATTTTTTTAGATTAAACTTACACTTCGCAACAAAAATATAAGTCACTATAACTAAATCACACAAACCTCTGTTATAAAAAAGAATTTTTCCTATCTGTATATATTTATTATAGGTGTTAGGGCGCGATATGACCGTGGTTCGCACGCTTATAATCGGGGAAGATAGCGAACGTGTGAGAAGTGTTTTACAAAGGTAAGAACTTTTTTGAATTCCGATGGATCGCTCATTTCTATCGTTAGCAGTACTATATTTATGTTAGCAGGACTATATTTATGAGATTTGTGTGTTGGTGATATAATGGAAGACCAAATATATCTCGAGTCGCAGTGAGACAGATTGTGGCGTGTAGAAAAGAATAATTAACTATAGCCCTAATCGCAGTGATACGCACTGCGATGAATTGTGGCGTGAGAGAATTTATTATATCAAGGTGCTGACCCAGGCGAATCTGTTTTATATCATTTTGCAAGTGGCCTCCAGCCAATCTAATTCACTTGAAAGTGAAGTAGATTTGACTTGCCTAGTGACAGGTCAGTTAGATTGGGACATTGATCAAACGATGGATATTATTGTTTCTAGAGGATATCGAACAAAACGGGTTCGCGGGTCGGCGACGGAAAAACAAAACAATATTTTGCGCACGATATGTTTGCGTGATGAATATGTTGCTTCATGTGGACAAGAAGTCCAAATCGCCTTTTTTCCAGAGCCGATTATCCAACGGAGATTTCATCTCGCGAGTATTTCGCGGGTCATGGAAAACGTCCGAACAATCTTTTTATATTTTATGTCTGTTTTTCTGAGATTCTATTACCAAATCATGATATTATTACTTCCCATTTGTCACTTCTGTAATTTCTTCTTTATTCATATCACAAAGATATAAGTTTAAATCAAATACAAGTCATATAGCTTGACGCATCGCGCCATAACACAGATATCAATAAAAATGGATGGTAAACATATCAGAGAACAAAAAGAACTATAATTTTTGACACGATAAGTACAAAAGTAGTAAAATCTTATTTTGAGAATCAAAAATTTTGTCATAGCCTACAAAGTCTTTAGACCTCGGTGTCATTGAAGATTAGCTAAAAAATAAGACTAGCTAAAAAAGTATCTATATCCAAAAAGAAAAACAATTTAATAATATTGAGAAATTGAAAACACAAATGAGAAAGAAATGAAAATATATAAAACAAAAAACAATAAAAAATTTGTATAAATTTTTCTTAAGGGGAATGTTAGAGATTGTAGAAAATAAGAATGGCATTATACACTTGCCATATATTTCTTGTAAAAATATGTTTTATAGTTTTGTTGCGGTTAACTTTTTTAGATATATTAATTGTCATTTTGTAAATGCTAAAATTTTAAACAATAACTCTTGTGTTTTTTAAAATTTTGTTATGAAGTGTAATTCAAATCTAACTCAAACATAAAATCAAAATAAAAAATTTAAGAAATACTGTAGGTTGCAATTTAATGTACAATCTAGAATGTGTAATAATCAAATTATTTTTGCACATTCTGCACCTGCATTATATATATATTATATATACGCATATAAAATATAGGCTACAATGGTCATCGTCAGTTATCAAAAATGCATTGGCATATAGTAGGATATTCTTTGCAATTTATTTGGACAATATGGTTTGTTGTTTAAGTTTATATCGAATAGATGATTCTTTTGGCCTTTGAATTGATTTTCTTTTCTTTAGATTTTTTATATAGTATAACATAATAGTAACTATATTTATATAATACTTAGTAACAGTTATGTATTATTATTACTATAAATATATTTATTTAGTATATTAATAGATAAAATTCAAATAAAACTAATTTTATAAATTTAGTTATATTAATAAACGATACTAATAAACTTTTTAAATTTGTTATTAATTTATTATATGTATTTATTTTAATTATTATGAATGAAATGATTTCATCAATTATTTAGCATATTGTTATATATTGTTCAATTATTAAGCATATATTGTTATATATTTAATAAATATATTAAATATTGTTATATATTAAATTGTTATATTAAATATTTAAACTTTATATGCATTATACTGATTTGTTTGAGATAGTTCAAGCTAAAAATAATGACTATTTATAATTAGAACTATTTTTCCTTTTATATTATTCTATTTTATAAATGTTTGAAAATGCTGTGCACAAATAAAAGTTCATTATTCTTCATATTAAAGAATTTTATACAAAAAAATTTCTATGTATAACGTTCAACACATGTTGTCGTACATAATAAAAATTATTTTCTTGTTAGTTTCTTGCTTTTAAAATTATAATAAACACATAATTGAAACTCTGAATGTGCTTGCCTTAAATACATAATTGAATATCAATGTACTTATTCGAATAATATTTAAATTATTTCAAGATAATTAAAATTATATAAGTAGACACATTGAATAAATTAAAAGTTTGTGTATTTCGTATTTAATATAAATTTTCTTAAATAAAATTTCTTTTACTTAAAGTTAAAAATTGTAGAGGAAAAATATCGATTATATTTTTTTCACAAGTGCAATAGTGCACGTATATTTTACAGTTGTACTATTTCTTTGAACGTAAACCTCTACTTTTTTGTATACATCGAATGTCTTTCGTCATTCTATTTAAAAATATATTATATAGGTTATAAATATTATAAATATTATAAATATTATAACTATTATAAATATTATAATATTATACATGGTCGCAACCGTAATGAGGTTAAAAAATATTTTAAAAACTTAAATTAATAGTTAGAAAAATATAAAGTTAAATTTATAGTTAGATAAGCTATTTTTAAATTAAATTAGATTTATAGCTAGGTATATCCTGTATTTGAGTCAAAATCTCAGCATATATATATATCTGTGTATGTTCATAAAGATATTATCAAAACATGCATGGACTTTGAATTATACTTATTATGTGCTATTATCACATTGTTGATCACATTAATAGAAACCTGATTTAATAAAGGTATCAGTTTACCGGAATTAAATCTTTCAAATTATACCATCTATCTCAGGATAAATGATAAGCATTTAATTCCAGCACCTACGTTCATGAAATTAATAGCAGTCATGAATTAATAGCAGTGAAACAATTATTCAGACTACATTTGATGAATCATTCGAATGTTGAACACTTATTTGTCAAAGTAAAAATCTTAACACTCATGCTCATCACAGAAATAGTGTATTTTCCTCTTGCTACATGACATGTTTCTTGCTATATATTGGTCACATTAATGATAAATATATTTGATATACTCGATATTTTGAGTTTGATATTTTGAACTCCGGCCATTTTATTGTTATTAAGTTATTTATAATCTCAATTTTTTCGCAATTTTTTTCCTTATCCTCATCTGCCAGCAGCACTGATGAAATCATATTAATTCATTTACTGGAATTAATATTTTAGTATTCGAATCATCTATTCCAGTATTCATTAACTAAGCAAAATCGATTGAGCACTTTCCTAAACCTTTTAATGATAATTTTTCCTAAACCTTTTAATGATAATTACAGTAACTGGCTAAGATGCGACAATTGAGAACCTAATAATAAATGTAAATAAATATATTTATTATTTATTATATTTAACAACTCTTTTAGCAATTTTCCTTTTATAAATAATTATCTTAATTATTGGGATAAACAGCTTAAATCGTTTTTTAGTCGATAACAAACAGATAATATCGTTCTATGAATGTATTGACTGCGTTGTTGAAACAATAACATGTAGCTATTGTCCAGAAATATTTATTTTAGATGGTTCTTTAAAGACTTAATATCAAACATGGAAAAGTAATGCATAAAAACGTTCCAAGAATTGCCAATTCGTACGACGAGTTTTGTCAATTAAGAATCAAGCACAAATCCCTATCTAAAGACTATTGTAACAAGTACACAGCTATATTGAAAATTGTATTCAATTGAACATTAAATTGTTCTGAAAGTTTATCACTGCTAGACAATTTACTGAACGTCTCTCTATTACCATGTATAATAAAATAGAATTATTAAAATGATATTTTAATAACATTATAATTAATTATAATAATAATAATTAATAACATTATAAATTTAATAACATTATAAATTTAATAACATTATATAATATTATTATATATATTATATGTATAATTATATACAGGGTCGTGTATTTAAGTGAGACCAGCTAAATATCTTTTCGAATTGTGATGATGCAAAAAATATTTTTCGCCTAACATGAATGGTATCATTATTTATATGTATATATATTTAACTGATAAGAATATATTTTTTCCAGTCATTTTTTTCGGAGTTTTCGAAATCATTGATATTCTTTTTCATATAACTATATATTTTTTTTACTGTACGTATTTTACATATTTTTTTACCAATTACACAATTCAATAAAAACAATTCGTAGTTGTATGAAAAAAAATCAATAACCTTGAAAAGGTTAACTAACTTCTCAGGAAAAAATAACCTTGAAAAAAAATATTTTTATAAGTTATTGACCTCTCTTATTAACAGAGTGGCTAAAATTTTTGAGTTTATCATTTTATCATATTTATTATATGATCAATACGGTTTTAATCCAGGTGCATCTATCAATTATTATTATTATTTGGCCTTCCTTAATTTCATATCAAATGCTCTTATAATAAAAAATAAAATTAATATAAAATAAATCTTATAATAAAAATAACAAATTAATATAATTATTTTTTAAAAAAATTTGGATAAAGTCAATTATACTGGCAATCAAACTTGAAATCTGGTAGTTTTTTGAATTGGATTGAAAATTATATCAAGGAGCGTTCTCAATTTTTTTTTTTTTTTTGACACTAGGATTTCACCTTGGTCCTTTTCTCTTTTTCTTTTTCTTATTTATTGATTTTTCTTTCTTAAATAGTAAGTTTCTACTTTTTCCTGACGATCTATTTTTTAAAATTATCTCATCTGTTTCGGACGATGAAGATCTCTAATTTATATTCAAGTTTGAAAATTGGTTGTCATGTCAAGTATAAACTTTGGATTTAAATTTCAATAAATGATAAGTTATGAGATTTTCCAAGAGCAACAGATCTATAAAATTCAGTTATTACTTAAATAATCAGATGTTAATCTCAGAAATACGATTCAGTTCGTGATCTTGGAATAACATATAATAGTGCACTAACTTTCACTAACTATAACATGCAAATCGTAATAAAGGGAAGAAATCTTGGGTTTTCTATAAAATATGGAAAACAAAAATCTTCTGACAAATTAAAAATTTTGTTTTTCTCTTACATTTTCGCATTACTTTGAGTACACTCAAAATTAAAAATATTACCCAAATATTAAAAAATACTGTAAGTTCATAAAAAGAGACAACATAGATTCTTATGATTTCTTGCTTACAAAAACAACTCAGCTCTTACATGGATTATAATTAAGAAAAAATTGTCAAATGGCTCTCTTTTCCGTAAAATTCCTCAGGAAAGAACAATCAATAAAATCATTTTTCTTAAGAAAATTGTCAGCAGTGATTGTCCTCCTTTATTGAGTCTTATTAATTTTGTTAGTAATACTCAATTGGTTAGGCATACCTAAACAGTCGGTTTTTGTTTTTTGAACAATTAGAACATCATATTGGGCAAAATGTAAAAATGCATTTTCGAGAAAATGTTTAAATAACGAGAAAGGTAAAAAAAAGCAAAAAAGAAAAAATACAAGAAGAAAGATATGGGATATTTATGTGCGACAATAAATGTTGCATGTATGCTGCATTTGATTAAAAAAATATAAGCACATTGCAAATAAAATAAATTTCACTATTAATCGAACTTACGGTGCAAAATTTCTTCCCAAAGCTGTGAATTCTCTAACTAAACTTCTCTAAATTCTCTAACACCTCTAAATATCAATTTTTTCTCTATATATTAAAAGAAGAAATTGATATTTTGTCTGATGCTGATTTTTATAGTCAAAAGAATGTAGATGAGACGTGAATAGGATGAGTTTATATACGCAATTTCCATGCGATGAGATTTAAGCAATCACTATTGCTTGATATAATGCATTGTATATAGCGAATAATATGAACTGACTAAATAATATGAATTGATTTCGACTATGATTTTTATTAATACAAAGATAATCAGTTGATCGCGTTAAATTCAAAAGTTCGTACAAAATGATATTGCGCTTACACGCAGAAGCAACATTTAATTACATCATACAGAGTGAGTTATTTAAATTTATTTCTAGACTATTTGTTGTATAAGATGTTTCACTATTGTTTCACTATTATAAGTTATTATGACATTAAAATAAGATTTATTATGAACTAATATTTTAAAATATAATGCAATAATTCCATCGGACTTATATACGAAAGTAGAGTAAAAGTATTTTTTAACTTTTAATTCTTATCATTCAATTAATTATAGGTATTTATTAATTATCGATCATCATCATCATGTTGTATACGACTGCTATAAAAAGTGTAAAATAATTATGTTCAAACATATAATCCATTACTTAAGATTCCAAATTATATGATTGATCGATCGTAAAACATTCGATTGAATAATAAAATTCTGTTGTTTTTAATTCTAAATCAAATTATATTTGTTTTACTCCTTTTAAAATTGTTTTACTTTTCTTTTGTGATAATGGAAAATTGAATTCTGTAAACAGTCACTTAATAAGTGTTGCATTGACACTGATTTTATTTAAAATAGTCAAATGAAAATATTGTAGATATAAAGCTCAGAAATAAAGTTAAATAATAATGAACTATCACTGAAAAAGTTTTCAGTTGATATTATATAATATAAAGTAAATTTTATTATAAAATCAATAATAGTCAATAATAGTATTTTATAAATTATTATTATGACAATTTAAATATGATAAACAAATTATCAAGAATTTAATGTTTGGAAATATTATAGAAATAAAATAATTAATAATTAATAAATAAATGTTATAGAAATAAATTTAATATAATAATTGAGAATGTTTTAAAATGTTATAGAAATAAATTTAATATAATAATTGAGAATGTTTTAAAATTGAATTAACGATTCAGTTTTAATTAAAAATATTAAATAATATTTAATATTTAAAAAAATTTAGATTACTTTATTAAAATTTTATTAAAATTCAGTTCGAGCATTGTCGATCGACATACATGTCGAAATATGGAAATGTAGGTAATAGTAACGAGCTGTTATACTTAAAGTTAATATTTTGGTAATGGGACAGAAGTTATTTTTGCCCATGATAATAATAATTATTATAATTTATGTGCTGAAAATACATTTAGTCTTCCATATTGTTAGTTTTTGATTTATAACTATGTTAAAATGTTAAATTTGATTTATAATTATGTTAAATGTCAATTTATGATAGAAATAGTTACAATAATAGTGAAAGGTGAAGTTGACTCATTGATCTTTAGCTGTTCTTAAAAATGGAATGTGAAGTTGGAATAAAAATCTCTTGTTTTTTAAAGGAGAAAATTTTATTACTTACAATTAAAAAGGTAACAAATTCAATTTCTATGAAGAATTATTTAAGTAAATCGAATTGTGTAACTGTAGTATGTGAGTTTATCGTTTCCTTGAATTATCAAATAAATCTACATCTTGATAGCATATAGAATTATGTATTTAAACACTTTAATATTGACAGGATTGTTATAGTTCGTCATCTGTTAACAATTTAGAACTTTTCCTAAGTTTTCATATTAAATGGTACTTATTATTCATTGTGTTTCGTTGTAACTGCTTAGAACATAATAAGTGTTTCGCTACACTGTGTTATCAATATTGTATTAAGTAATTAATATTGTATTAAGTAATTAATATTAAAATCAAATATATTACTGCGATAAGTGATAATTTTTAAACCTTTAGAGTAACCTAATTTTTAAACCTTAAAGAGTAATAATTTATTAGAAGAATGGTGTTTGTTAATGATATAAAATCAATTTTTAATACCGGTTTATTATTAGAATGTACTACACTGGCCGTTACGCAGAATATGAGAGTGAAAAGATTTCGAAACATAGTACTTATTGTATCAATGATTCTGTATTTAACTAATCTTATTGCACGTTTACGTATTCTCATGCAAAAGTTTAAATCGAAAAAGCATGCTTATTACCAAAGTGTTGTTTTTTTGTACGAGTTTATTCGTGGATGCCACGACAACCACTTTATGAAATTGAAAAATCTGATCTGCTTTGCTTGATCGAGGTACAAATTTTCATAATTTCTCAAAAAGAAATAAATAAATGGATATTTAAGTTACAGGTAATTATTAAAGTTACAGGTAAAATTCTCAATAGCGATGAATGTTCTATAAAGAATTAAATGCTGACTTCAAATAAAAGTTTATATTATATTTTGGTCGAAACTGAGTTAACTTATAATAGTTATAGTCTTTGGTGATTGTTTTAAACTACATGGATGTTAAATATTCCATCAGAAGTAAAATCGATGTAAAATAAAAGAGAAAACTTATGGAAGAAGTATAACTTTAAATCGTGTTATTTTAGAATATGGTCTTCTTTAATCGAGGTCACCATTCAATTATTAAATTTTTTAGCATTCAAATAAAATTGTTTTATTAAATCTCACATAAACTTTTAATTTACTTTGAATTAGTGATTTAATTTATTTTTTGAATTGGTGATCTAAATAAAATAGAAACTAGATTCGTACTGGATTGTTGAAAAATTAAATTATGCTGACAGATTCAAGATAAATCTTTAACCTAAGCAATATAATTGTCAAGATATCAATATCAAGCAATGTAGATATAGAAAGTCTAGTGGCTCAAAGTATTCGTACACTCGATGTTTATATTTTAAACTATTATAAAAAAAATCATATAACAATTTAGTTGATTTCATTTTAAAATATGAAGCCCTCACTTTGACAATTCTGCGTTAATTTTTTTCATGGATGTTTTTACATTACGTAGCAAAGTGGGAAAGCAAGGATATTTTGTTCTCGAAATTCAAATGTCTCTGGAAACATTAAAAAACTTTTTTCATAATTAAATCTACTATAGTTTGAAGAACAAAGTCACCTCTTTACGACACTTTCTTAATTCTTGTAGTACGATTTTTTTTTTTTGTTTATTTAACTCTGAACATTTTATTGAATTCTGTTATTTAACTCTGATGTTCAAGGTTTAATAAAATGACGAAAAGAAATTATACAGCATGTTTTAAGGACTTGATGTAAAGAAAAGATCTCAATCTTCGAGATAATCACGAAACAAATTTTTCAGTAACTTTTTGAATAGGGTTACAAAAGTATCCTTACTTTTTTATTTACTTAATGATGTAAAAACATCTTTGGAAAAAAAGAAGTCAAGGTTGGTAAAATAGAAATTTCACGTTTTAAGATGAGGCCTACTGAATTGATGTACGATTTTGATTCACGAAGTTTATAATATCGATAATTTTTCATCGAGTGTACAAATATTTTTGTCAGAGTACTCTGCATATATTATGACCTATTCAATTGACAAATGGTATAAACCGAAAATTTAGAAATAGTATTAAGAGTTTAAAAAGAAGAGTTTAAAATAGTATTAAGAGTACATGTTTCATTTAACAATTTAATTTGCAATAAATTTTATTTTATTTTGTGTTAATAAATAAATAATAAAGAATTAATTTTTACGTAGTAAGTAAACATTTGCTTATTCGTCATCTTATTGTTAGTTTGAAGAAAATGTATTGATTTTCATTTTTCTTAAACTCATATTCATTTTATTTTTTTAAATATAATTTAAAGTAGGTATATTCTATTTTTAATTTCTAAAGTATTAGACGAAAATCCAATTTTCACAATATTAAGAAAAGTGACCTAATTCACTTATTACTGCTCATATGTAATAAAGTTTTATTAATCAACATCTTCTTTTTATAGAATTGAACTCAGATTGCCAGTTTTTCGCGGACTATTATATATCATCATGAATGCCTCTGTAAATACACAAATTCTAATATTTGTTTGCATTTTATTTCTCGTCGGGGAAAGATTTCGTCACCTCTGCAATATAGTAACGTTTTCTAGAGGTAAGTTTATTTCTCATCTATTTCTTAAACATGCCAACGTTAAAGTCCAGACGTTTATTTATTTGTGAGTTTTATGCATCGTTCAAATGAATCCGCCTTTCGAACTGTACTCGATCGTTGCTTTAATATATTTTCTTTCATTCGTACACGATCAAGAATTTTGCCACTTTACAAAATCCGTATTTTATTTTATTTTCTGCACGCCTGTTTTTTCGTACAGATCTCGTTTGAAGCAACACTGTATAACATGTTCAGTTATGAAATCAAAGATTCCATCGATAGATACGCGATTTTAAGCATTTTCTGAATAACAGGAAAGCTTCAAACTTCTATCAAGAAATCAATATTGTCTTAAGTGACGTGAACTAATGATTTGTTTGTATAAACGTTTAATCGCATATCTCCTCTTCGTATTCAAGTAAAAAGATGGACAGAATAATTATTTTTATTGTTTTTTTTTTCCATTGCTAGCAGATGACAAGTTAATAATGGTCGATCAATCGATCGGACAGTTCACACTCCAGGAGATATGATGGCTTCATTGCTCTCTCGTAAATGCGACCGAAATGTTGAATACCATATATACGCGATTCAATTATTGCTTTGAATCTCGAGTATGTCTTTCAATTTATTGTCAACGATTTATTCATTGAAAGTGCTCAAATTATCGGATTACGGGAGAGTCAGGGAATTAATGCTGGTGATTGATTGCGCTTAGAAGTTGGTATCGATTACTACCATATGTCACATGACAGTGAATCAGGTAGATCTTCGTGAGAAACAAAGTAGTTATTGAAACGCATGTACATTCATGTAACTAGCTATTTGTTTAGGTGAATCGTGTTGGCCAGCTTATTTTCTCTCCATACTCAACTGTTTCTATGAAACGCATGTTTCTGCAGATGAGTTGAATTCCAATGAAATCGTTTGCATATTTCAATTCAAAAAGAGAAGAATCATTATTCTTTTGAAAGAAACATTGTTTTTTTTGTACTTCCTTTTTTTTTTATTATTATGCCATTATTATTGAATCATAGTACCTTTTTGTTCTTCCGAATAATTAATTATATCAAGTTAATTGTACACTTCTAATCAATTGCTACGGATTATACCCTTAATGAACTAATACTCTCATTTTTTGCATTTTTGGTGCTCTATAAGAATTGTTCTAACGCATTATAGGAAAACATAGATGCAGCGACATATTTCCAACCGAGAAAGATCCATATTTTCATTATTACCGGCACAATACGCGTCGATCTTTCTCTTTTGCTTTCGGTAAGGTCTGACGAATGTAAAGATGTTCCTAGATTGATGAAACAAAGAATTTTTATTTTTACAGATATTCTCAGCAGTGACAACACATTTAATGATTCTAATATAAATGATGGCTTATTAAAGAAATGAAAAAGATATATATCACATATGTTACATGTACAAATAAAAAAGTGTTCACAAGGCAAGTATGAAATGAGAATCATAAAAAAGGAGCATTAATTTTGTGCGCTACCCATTGATCTCTAGCGTTAACTGATACGAAATGCCACTAGAGGTGATCGGCTTGCCGTAACAGAATACGCGTGAAATTTGTCTCAACCTTTGTGAGTGGATTCACGGATTACTTGACAATGTTGAAGCAACCCTCTATTTTGTCAATGTATTCAATGCTCAATCGTTTTCATCCTTTTCCAATGGAATTTAGAGATCACTGACTAAAAATAATTTGCTTAAGACCTCTGCATCATATTATTTACAGAGTAAATTAAATCTGTCGCTGTTAGGATAAGTTCTATAGCAGACAAAGGGAAATAAAATATCTTTTTATTCCTTAACATAAATGAAAATTAGATTCAATTGGCAATATTATTCTTGAATTAATTTGTTTAGTGTTAAGCATATTGTAGCAATTTTATCACAACTATCTCTTGTTAGAACAAGTTCAAAAGATAAATTCATCTGAGGTAAAGCGAGACTAGCTCGGTTATTACGATAAATTACTATGTTTCAATAAGTTAAATTTACGTTTGACGCGATGATAAGTAATGGTTTATAAATTGACCGAAAACCAGCAAAAAGCCAATGATCTAACGGTATTTCTTCGTACAGGTATTAAAATAAACGAGATTTGCTTACAGTTTGGAGTCGAGTTCCTGTCTGAAATCAAACGTACACGGACAAAGAGTAAGATCAAAAAAAGATATTGAAATTGTTCGGAAACAGCGGAGGAAAAAGTTATTTTTAACAAGTTCCTTCGCGGACAATAACATTTATCAAGCGTTATGGATGGAGGAATCAAGTGGGATCGACATTTTTTTATGATTCTATAGGTGGAGAATAACACGGCGTGGCGCACAGAGGATATATAGTACAAAGAGGATGAGAGAAGAGGAACAGAAGCGCAGGCGCGTTTGAGGAACCGTGTGCGAGTAGTGTCCACATTTATATTGCTTTCAAGAGCTCCGGCGGGAGCTGCGATTCTTCCTTTCAGTTTATCGTAGTACTGTTTCCGAAACTATTCTCGCGAGTTTCGATCGTGTGTTTCATTGAAAATTGAAATTACAAAACTGTCGTGCAATCGATTTGGGGAGTTAACTTAAAGAAGAGAACCCGCAATTTATCCGTTAACAAAACTCGATTAAGATCATATACAGTGGAAAGACTTAGTGTTTAATTTCCTTTTTCTCTCGTGGACTATAGAAAGGATAAAATTCGTCGTATTGTCCATCAAAAAAAATGTGGTCAAAAGTGATAATTTGCGTGATATTAATAAACAAGTAATAATGTAAAGCCATTTAGAAAAGAAAATATTTAAAGCAAACATAGAAGAATTTCTAAAAGTGTAATTTAAACCATTTAATGTCTTGTTCAACATAAATCTCTTATAAGCTTAAATGGGCATCGCGTAATAAAGAACTATTCATATATGTATACTTTTTTTGGTAAATACTATGACTGTTTCTACGGCATGGAGATTTATAAATATCCAAACGTATTATTTCGTTCATTTTGTTCCGAGAAAATTTAGCGAAAATTTCCATTTACGGTACTGTGATATCACGTTTAATATCATGTTTTACATGTAAATTAGTCAATACGCGGTATATCATGTGCGCAAAAAATAACAACCGTCAATCACCGCATCCCGCTCTTCATTTGCGCGTATAATATTCAAAAACATTTATTTTGCAAAGTGCGACAATTCCGTATCGTAATTACTTTCGTAAAATTTATTTATCTTTCTCTTTACATCATCGTTGAATAATAGGAAATTGCTCGTGTATTTAAGACGTGTGTGTATTGCACATGATATATTCTTGATATAATGTGTGAATTATACCATACCATACAGGGTGATCCTTACAATCTTACAACAGACAAAAATCAAACAGATCCTCACAACAGAAAAAAAAACGTAAGGGGGATGAGAAGATAGAAAGGATTTTTTACGCATTTATTTTATTTATTTTATCAATGCAATTAACCGTCAAATTATTTGACTATATAGTTCATTCTTTCAATTCAAGATTTCATGAAAAAAATTGATCAGATGCAGTTTAAGTATTGTAATTGCGCAGATAGTTCCAAAAACTAAATAGATAAGGAAATTAATGTAACAATTTTCTTATACTTAATCATGGAATTGATCGGCTGTTATATTTTCGGCAAAATATCGAAGATAATGATACGTTGCTTCGTACATATTGTTTTCTCGCCATAAATTAACTAATCGATCGTATTGACTTTTTAAATATTTACGAAACTTCGTATACCGTTCTATGACTGTTTTACACACGATAAGGTCGATTCATTTCGAGTTACGACAAAGATTATAATAGAAATATTTCATATCCATCACGTCATAAAAGTTTCAATTCATCAAAATATATTATCGAAATGCTACTATGACAAAACGAGGATTAATAGATTGAAAATAATTGATTAAATACGGAATAACAATAGGAATAAGTGTAAGAGGTGAACAGTCGTCGCGGCGATTTTCGTACAATAAATTTCTTCGTTAGTTGCGCGTGTTAAGAATTCTACAGTACTCTTTATAATCGGATAATCCGATAAATTCAATTGATCGAGAAATTAGCTGTAATGAAGCTTTGAAACTTAAACAGCGACAATATTTTCTATCAATCCAAAACTAAATTCTCTATACCTATTAAAACCAAAAATTACTTTCACTTGCATTTCGTCGGTTGTTCAAGTTCGTACAAGAAAGCTATTGGATTGTACAAACGAGAAGAAGATCATGTCGACGAATGTGTACAACGATTCGAGAATAATATCAACGTCATCGGAGTTTAATAGCTCATATAATGATACCATGGTACCTTCGAACGAAAGCTTTGGAGAAGACATTACCGAAGACATACTTTGGTACTTTTACGATAAATTTCGCAGCAAAACTAATTACTTTTTGATTATCCTCTACGTACCTGTGATGGCACTCGCAGTGACGGCCAACATTCTCGTGATCGCAGTAGTTTTCAAATACCATTATATGCGCAGGTACGTGTACATACATAGTTCTATATTATTTCTAAACATCCTATCAAATACATATTGATACAATCATTTACTTTTCTATTGGCTCGGTTAAAGAATTATTTATTGCATGTGGTGCTCCTAAACAGTATCTATATTCATAACATATTCAAGTTATATATTGTATGGAACACCTTTTAGAAAGCCTCATGATAGAATAGAGCGAGCAACTCCGAAGCAATTAAAACTTTACTTGAAGATCATTGTGGAACAGTCTCAGAGTAGGATGAAGAGAGATTTGACTAAATTACGCGACGACGACTCAATTGAAATGGCCTCAGGTGTATAGACTGCTGATTAGAGAGATTGTTACCTTGTCATGTTGTCAGTTTACAATTAAGATATTGCTTCCGAGATAACAGGATCAATTCTGGCCAAATTAATTATAACTTTGAATGAGGATAGTTATAGGATTAGGCAAATTCATTTCGAAATACGAAGGCGGGTGCAGCATGGTGTTATCCTTTTTTAATCCTTTGACATCTCAATTGAAGATCACGAAGTGTAAATTGTCTCAAGAGAAGCGTAGCTCACAGAAAAAACATTAGATTATATAACAATAATATTAAATGAGATTCAACGCTATTAGTTGCAGTTCGTTTGTCATTTTCAATTGTTTAATACGTTCTTAATGATCCTCGCGATTTTCTCGATTTAGTTTTACTAGAACGAATAAAGGCGCAATATTTTTGAGAAAAGTGTAAAGGAACAATTAATTACAATCAGGGATTGAATAAGACAATCATATATATTTTACAAATAAAAGTTATTTATCATTTAACTTATAAATTTAATTTATAAATTATTTTCTTTCTGTTTTAAGTATTAATTTCGTACATTAATACATCAACTTTGCTATGAAAGTTCAGTTCTTCAACAGTTATTTTATGTTTGATTAATAAAAGTTCTGGAGAGTAATTTATTTTTGAACAGATATTTAAGTTCAAAATATAAATATAAGTATGAAAGTTAGAAGTTAGAAAAACTTTTTTAATTAGCACTATTTTAAAGAATTAGAAGTAGAATAAATGTACAATGTATGCATATTATGATTTTTGTATAATTGTTTCATTTTATTAACTATAAGACGAGAATTAAAAAGAACAAAAAATTCCATACTCAAAGTTCAAATCATTTTTATTGATACTTATCCTGAGATTGTCACGAATTTTTAAAACATAAAACATAAAGTGTTCCATTAACTTGCATAGTAGAAAAACTAGCTAGTACATACTAATTGACTAGGAACGATCTTTTAAACCTTCCATCAATCCAGTATTCTAGTGTTTAAATTACATTTAAATTAATTTTTTTTAAATTCATCTTCACCGAATGGTTTCAAGATTTCAATTTCAAACCTATTTACTTCACAATGTTTCCAGGAAATCTGTTTGTCACAATTTCTTTTCGGAGCAGAATAAATGTTTCTGTTTAATTAAAACTTATATATTTCAAGAAAATAAAAGTTTCTTATTTACACAAAGATATGTGGAATAGAGATTTCAATTAATGCACTGTAATTAACAGTCTTTTCGAAACAGAAAAAATAATTATGGAACCAAATGAAAATTTTAACAGTTTCATTCGATTTCTGAAAACAATGCATAAATTACTTATAACTAGTCGAATTGAATGCCAAAAACGTGTACATAAATAATATGTATACACCAGATTTGCAAACAATAGAGCATAAATTGATTAATAAAAAGCATCAATAGCAGCATGGTTATGGGAGGTTCGTAGTCCAATTAATAAAAAAATACTTCACTGATAAACAACGAGCCTTCAATGATAAACAATGTTGTGTAACGAAAATTTTGTCAAATACTGTAATAAACTAGTGTTTGTCCGCATCGCATAAACAATTGCTATAGTTGGTACCTTGAATACACACACTTTTATTACACACAATTTTATTAATTCTGTAATGTAGATACCTTGAACATTCTTAGTGCGCAAAGTCGAAGAAACACATACATAGGGATGTGTGCTTATTTCCAACAGCGGCGAAGCATCGTGCAAATAAGCGATGTCTGTAAGAACGTCATGGTTGCCTCAATTCAGGTTTATTTGCAAAGCAAAAATTATTGCTCCCTCTCTCTCTTTTTAATGTCAAACCGTGAACGCGAATACGAATTTTGATATTAACCACTAACGCTCACGCCTTGCACGGATAACAATAAGCGAATGATACGCGTTCCTCGAAACTATTCAGATGGATATTAGGGTATTCGAGCAGTTGCGTTGCAAATTATTTATTCATTGCTCGAAATTTGTCCTGGATCGGTTTGGCAATTCAGCGATAAAAATTCTTTTATTAAATTCGCAGAATTCCTCAATAAAAGTGATTGGTATATTTCATTGAATTGTCAGATCTTATATTGGTCCAAGGATTATTTTCATTTACATATATGATGTTCAATCAATAGTGGATTTTAAATGGATAAAGAAAATTTTTATTTCCAGTGTGACTAATTATTTCGTGGTCAATCTGTCAGTGGCAGATCTTTTGGTGACTGCGATTTGTATGCCGGTGGCTGTCAGTCAAGCAGTCTCCATAATATGGATACACGGCGAAATAATGTGCAAACTTTCCTCTTACCTTCAAGGTAAGATCTTACGACACATAGGCGTCTTTTGTTTTGCAATATTTGATTCAAATCTGCATGTTGTTAAAATTCGTGTTAAATTAATGAAATGCTTTTCACGAACACGATGTTTTTGGAGACGTTACTCTCTCACGGTAGTGCAAGGTAATACAAATGAAAAAGATTGGTGCTACAATCATGATTCGCTGCCTTCTCTAAGCAGAGTGGGCAAAATATAACTCTGGCTTATATATAAAAGATCTTCCGGAATGTGTATATTAGTGTAATACGCATGTTCATCTACGTTCATCCATATTTCCTCAAGCAAAACGTAATCCCTCTGTGGATACAGTTTTAATTTCTCTCTTTATTCGTCACCATCGACCTTCCCACCTACGTTCGACCCGTTCTCTCCTACCGAGTAAAGACTAAATATCCTATTAGAAAGTACCGTCAATCGCCGATGATGATTTAAAACGATGACGACGACTCTAACTCGTAGGTGTTGCAGTCGCTGCTTCGGTTTTTACCATTACTGCAATGAGCATTGACAGATACTTGGCGATAAGGAATCCTATAGCGTTTCGTCGAGTGTTCAATCGGAAAAGCACGGTTCTCGTTATCATGGCTCTTTGGTTAGTTGCTCTGATCATTTTTGCTCCTGTTCTCAGAGTGGTTAGTATTACAATAATAATACAATATCCAATAATTATATAATTCGCGAATATTTTAACAATGAAAAATGTCTGGAATATATTTTATTTGTCAAAAATTATAGACATGGTTTTTACTAAAATTAACTGAAGGATTATTCAGAAAGTTCTGTTACTCGTGTTTTCTTATTATTTTAGAAATAAATTATATTTTCCACTTACTATTTTAATTCGAAGGAACAACTCTTAAACGATTGTTCACTTTTTTCTTTGATAAGGAAAAAACCATTCGATAATTATATTTTGCGAAAATATGTTTCCAAGGATAAAATAAGAACGAGCAGTATTAAGAGTTTTTTGACAAAAAACAAGAAAAAGAAGATTTTCGGTGTAAATAAATCTTATCAAGAAATCAAATCAAATCAGTCTTATCAAGTTTCTAAAGTTCCACGGATGAGTGGTGTCCAATCTTTTTTTCAGATGACCCTCTACAGCCCAGGTATGGAACTTAGCAACATATCTTTCCACGGATCCTGGGCAATGACAAGGAATTTTTCACAGAATATTTCTCGTGTTTCTCGCCAACCACCTATTTTCTACATTTGTTCGGAAGATTTTAAGCCTTTAGGCATTCGGGCGCCCCTCTTCGGCGCTGTGTGCTTTGTGCTGGTTTACGCTATTCCTGGTAAGACCACACATGATTAATAACAAACTTCACACGAACACATATTTTCATCTCATTCCTCTTTCCATTTCGAAAAGGAAAAACAACATGGTACGATTCGCTTTTATTATCCATCCCAAAAAGAGATTAATCATTTTACTCTCTACTTTCTCTAACCTTTACAATTTTCCCTTGTTTGGTTACTTTCATTCTTCAGGTTTTATCGTAATACTGTCATACTCGATGATGGGACGAACACTGTGCGCGCGGAAACCGCCTTTCGATTGCGACAGCGTTGAAGGAAGCGCTAGCTCGCAACAGGTTAGTTCGAAAATCGTGTATGTCATACGTAATATTTAATCTGATAAATGTTAGTTTAGCAGGAAATCATTTAATTATAGTAAAGATGCGTACTTAATTCAATAATAACGGGTTGGTCAGTAACGATCACCATTCGCCTAATTCTGCTTTAAAATGTATTCAAATGTATTCAAGTAGTGTAATATATGTATGATAGAAATAATTAAATTTTAAGAAAGTTTTCGATTCAATCCGTTCAAAAAATTTTCCTACGATCCTTTTTATTTGTATTGTCATATTTACTATTTGAGGAAATTAAAGGATCATTAATTATAACTGAAAAATTGTCAATTTTTGAATTCCTATAAATTCATGTAAAAAAAAAAATCATAAAACATTCTGTTTCATTCTGTTCATTTTAAAACGCAAAGCCTCTACTTTCAAAATTCATAATTCATTCTTTTCTGTGTGTTGAAGATATGTATTTTAAAATCTCTAAAATTGAATTTTACAAATTCAGACATCTCTGCAGATATTTAAAGATATTTAAAGAATTCTTTCTTTTACAATAATCCTGCAAAACTTGATGTATGATTATTTTTTTTATCTTTATTTTCGACTTTTAAATAAAAAGTGTACTTACGTTACAATAAATGTGTATGTTTATGTATATTTAATGTGAATGTATATGAATGTATGTGTTTATTTTGTGTGTATGTGCGTTTAGCGTATATGTGTTTAGCATCTGACATATTTTTAAACATGTATTAATCAATCGCACACATACATAATGAATCCTTTCGCTAAACGCATGCACAGTAAACACTTGCAGTAAATGTATACTGAATAATTGAGATCCGAACGTGTAACCTTCTTGGATTATTCGAATGCAGACGATACACTTTTCATTAAAAATACAATAAAACCGCGAAAAAGACATCGCTATAAAGAGAAGATTTTCCTATATTGATTACTTTGAAACGAAAAAATTGTAGAAAAAAAAATTTGAACTCTATAAAAGTCGTTTAAATTTCAAAAGAAAAGAGACAACTTCAGTTTCTCATTCTATTTTATAACAGAAAAAGAAACTAAGCTCAAGTAAACCAAATTAAAGACTTCATTCTTTAAAATAAGCACTGACAGAATGCGATATGATTTTTGTATACGACAATTTTTCGATTATAATTTAATAATTCCTGAATTTGTGCAGGAGCAGTGTATATTTGATTTTGACTGGTATATATTTGATTACGTCTACATTTACTTATTTAACGAACGTTCACATTCTGCCATTGTACGTATTCATTTCCATTTCGTGTTTGAAATATTAAAATCACTGTCCGTTTTTGTGCTCTTCTCGTCGATAATTAAATGACGGATCAATCTTGATGCAAATCGAGCTGCATTTATAACCGAGCGCAATTGCATTTTATTCGCAGAGTTTTCGGCTGGTACGTGAGAGAAGGCGAATTGCTTGGATATTGCTTCTTCTGGCGGTGCTTTTTGCACTGTGCTGGCTACCGTATAACGTTTTAATGCTCTTGATAGACCTGGGTGCAGTCGGTGAGTGATCGTTCATTGAAGAAAGCACAGAGATTACTATACGTCTTTTAATTGAATATCCTTATATCATGGAAACGTATAGAACGCCCACGAGCCTGCCGGTTATTTCCGCTTCTCTTTATCGTGAGGGAAATAATAGATAGCAGCTAATTCCAATGTCGCCAATTCCAATGAACTTTTAGCTTCTTATCGAATTATCAATGAATATGATTATAGATATTACTTATTCTTCGCAACTAACGAACTTGGACGAGATATACCTAAAGCCTTAAAATTACTCTGTAGAGGGAAAAGCAACGACAGATGCTCTATCCTATTGCTTGTTTCTGGGACACGCGAATAGCGCATTGAATCCTGTCGTATACTGCATTATGACTCGTAATTTCCGCCGGAGCGTATCAGAGATCCTTTGCCATGGATTGACACGTCAGAAGCCTTATCGCAGGGTAAGTATCAATTGAATCGAGTATCACAGTAATTTAAAGATATTCGCTATTGATGTTGTTAATGCAGAAGCTTTGAATAAAATTTACGTAAGGATAGAATTTCTCGCTACGGCAGAATTTTCCAATACTAAAGCAATTCTCTTTGATTGTTTCTTTTATCCTATTCTTCGTTTTATCTCTTCTACAATTATGCGTCACATAAATTTTGTGCTTTTCAAGGGAAAAATTCATTCGTTTAACTGATGCAATGTATTGATTATTTTAAGTTTGTAACGATCTAACAATATGATATTTATTAAAAGGGTATGCAGAAACGTATACAATTCGATACCTGAATTAGAAGAGAGGATGATATTAAAAGAAATATTTTTTGTGACTTAAGAAAGTTAAAGAGTTGCATGTTGGGATATATTTGATAAAAGGCTTATAGAATTTGTATTTATAAGTAAGGTCATTTAATCTCTGATATTTTTAGATATAAAAAAATTTCCACAGTTATGTGTGTTGATATGTTGGCCCCTAATGAAAAGTAATATAGCTTCCGGAAGCAAAAACTCTAATCAGAGGTACTTTATGAATTTCAAAACTCATGTTTTGATATTTCAGACATCGGGATCTCTTACGGTGTATATTATTCGATAAGCTAATGTGATGACACATGAATTAAACGTCTCATTTAGAAATTATAAACATAATAAGTACGTATTTTGTGAAAAACAGCGAATTTTTATTTGTACTTTGCTTCTGCCTGAATCTTACAAACATTTTAAGTAAAAATTTAGAATAATTTAAAACAATTAGATTTTAAGGAGAAATCTAATTCTGAAGAGGCATTATATTGCTATCCTTTCTTCTATTAATAAATAATAAAAACCCATGTCATCTCATAATCGATTTTTACGACTATTACGAAAGTAAAATTCAGAATCAATTGCGCATATGTTTTTTTCTTTTTGCCTGTATTTTTAGTTTATTTATATTTTTCAGTTGTATGAATAAAAACCTGGACAAACTTGATACTGGATCGTCACAAGAGGCTTCGTATTTCATTCGAGTGTTCTCGAAGGTTCTTTAATATTTTGTGATACAGCCTGAAATCGTCATTCGTTGCATGAAGCGTGAAATGATTCAGAATATGATATACAAATGTTGTTGTAATCCTTGGAAAAAAAAGAAAGAAGAGAGAGAAGAAATTATTTTGTCTCTCTATCTGCTGGCTCTTATACGATGCAGTATGAGTTGAAAACAAACGAGGGTGTGAGGGAGCATGATCATCGCGATTTCATCAAACTTCAACATAAATTTTCACACAAGGC